GATCAACGTGATCATGGCAAAAAGAACAGCCAGAGTTTGTTGATATTAACCCTTTACACCCTGACATCAGTATCCATTTTCACCATATTCTTCTCACATGTTTCTTTTGGTACTGACAAGAAGAATTCATCTGAAGATCAAAGCTTCTCATGTTGGCGATCATATCCTTTATTGCCATGATCTTAATGAATGGTTTAGCAGTATTACTGTAAGGAGAAATTAGATTTTGGTCACTCTTAGGGCTTAAAGGATTAAGGAGAAGTCTACTCTTCTGGTGGTCTTTGTTTTGAATCAGAAGGTCTCTTATTTAGGTTCAGTTCAGATGTTGCACCACTCATGATCTAAGCCTTACTAATGAATTATAGCATCATTTTAATTGGGATAATATGGCAGGTTTGTTTGGTTTGGTGCTCAATATCAGATTAGCAAAGGCTGGCTTATTTCCTGACATTAGATTGGTATTTTGGCAATTGCCATGATCGTCTCAAGTACTGAACTTTGTCAATCTTTTACACTCTAACATCGGTATCCATATTCTCCATACCCCTTTATACATTTCCTTTGATACTGACAAGGAGAATTCATTTAGCATTTAAAACTTCTTAGTTTGGCAATTACTTCTTATATTCTCATTTATAGGGTTTTAATGCCCCTTTAATATGGACATCTTTACAAAGACATCATTTTTCTCTCTTTTCAGATTAATGTAGTTGTACAATTTGTTTCAGTTGCCCTCCCAAAGTCTAAGCAGAAATGTACTTAATAAGAGGAGGCTTAGAACTTGGGTGGCAAGGCATTGTAAATGGAAAGTTATTCTACAGGTCATTTTCACTGATCACCTGAATTGTATTTTACTTAATACTTTTAGTCACTGAGTGTTTGAAATGAAATTATTTTTGTGTTAAGGTTGGACATGAACCAATTTCTCCAACTGAGTCCACAACATTTTTAGGAACTAAGGTCCTGAGATTACCAAGTTTTTTCCAGTATGGTAAGGAATTTAAGGAGATGATTTTCATTCTTTTTTAATCATTATGATTATTCATTAAAAGACATATTTAAAAAAAACTATTACCAGTACATAAAAAATTACTCATAAGCTTTAAGGAGATTGATACATGGCTGGCCTTGTGTCTGCAATTAAAGGAATCAAATAAAGCAGTTATCAATCAGATGTTGAAAGCAATCTGGGATTGTCTCTTTCTTCACTTTACTTCTTCCCGTGATTGGTCTGAAAAACTCTTGTCACCCTCTAAATCAATCAGATGCAAAACTGAAACTAATGTCGACTTTCTCACTTGTATTTTCCTACACTTCCAGCAGTATGCTTTTTTCACTTCAAGTTCTGATTTGGTCCCATGTGATATTCACTTTAGGTTCTGATAAGTCATTTTCAGATCACTTATTCGTTTTGGTAATACAGCTGCAGTGAAAAAGCACTATAATGAAATTCTGATTTGTTTTCTGGCAAATGACTTTCATTTGTCCTTTGCAACGTCTTGAAAAAGTCAAGATTGACAGTTTCTGTAATATAAATTTATATTTTTTTGGTTAGCATGTGAAGATGACAACACAATTTCTAGTTAATAATATGTATTTGTAAAGAGTGCAGAGGCAATCTATTGTTAAAAAAAAATATAAAAGCAAGATACTGGTAATCAAGAAAAGTAACATATATGTTTAGGTTTCTTTACTTTTTACCTCCTTATCCTGCAGCAAGTCATGTAAAGAAGATAAATGGATGGAGTGGACTCTACAGAGGATTGTTACCAAGGTAAGCTTTGTATGCTTTGGTTTCCAAAGCAAAAACAAAAAGTCATGCAAACTTGTTTGTGTGGGATTAGTTTCTAGTAAGACACCCAGTGTTTTAAGGTGACTCCTCAGTATTGTACTGTGCATACCGTGCTGTGTATAAAAGTCACCTCGTCAGGGAATATGGTATTGTTTTTCAATAAATGGACCAGGTAAAGAGATTCGATTGTCTTTGGCTCTTAAACCAGTGCAGTGAGCTATATCTTTTATTGCATAATTTTGGTGTACAAATCATCCCCTTTAAATTTGAGAATTTAAAAGAAAATTAATAGAAGGGAAAACTCAATGATGCAAGTTATGACCTTGAAAGCAATGACTTTCGGAACACTTTGTCATTTAAAATTACAGAATTTTTCCTCAAATTATGTATCAAATTGTTCTATATACTCAAGAATTTCTACCCATGAAGTTTTTTTCAAGTTTTACTGTAAAAACCCTTGCCTCCGGCTATCTCAAAATGTATTGTGAACCAATGAAATGATGCACATGATTAGTGCCTGTACAGGCATAAATGGGGTAACTTTGCCTCAACATATCTATTACACAAGCATAGTGACCTATCTTTTGAAATTTATTTTTCCAAACAGACATTGGTAGGTTTCTTTTCTGAGGAATCACTTTAAAAATGGCTAGTGCGTTAGCAACCAGTTGTAGAAGTCTGCATTCAAAACCTGGCTGGGTCATTGTGTTGTGATCCTGGGCAAAACAATTTA